TTCCCTTCGGCTCCACAAGAGATCAGACCAAGAAGCGAGATCACCCAGACACCAGAACCTACTTTGATGGGACATAACCCTTCGGCCCTATAATGTGACATTAGAGATCACCTGTGAAGACAGTCCGATAGAGATGAAGATTTGTGTGATAGGGGATACCTTCCACACCCTGGAATTGGCCAAGCCATATAATGTTGATAATTGCTATATCATAACATAGCATTGTCAATTTAATATTATTTACTTAATACCAAGAATACTCAAGGTTCAAGTTACATCTGTTGATTAGGCCAGAGCCTAAGAACGAGTAGTCCAACCCATAGGTCGAGAGCTACTAAAAGTAATGAGTGCTATTGAATGAACTATAAGTCCAGTCAATTATATATAATATTATTGTTGATTAACCACATTGTGAATTAACCAATTATTTATTCAGAGAGATATATCTAAAGGAACTATAAGTCCTTTAAAAGACACTGATTAATCACAAGTTAACAACGTCTCGTGAAATAACCAGTTGGGTTTTCTATAAGTTTGAGGACACTAAGTCCAACAAGCTATTATTGTGTTGAGAGTAATAGAGATCTTTTGTAATATTTGTAGAGGTTTGATTAATCACATTGTGAAATAATCAGATTAAATAATTATGTAGCTTTATAGAGAGGACTATAAGTCCTAATTGGTTGTTGTCATAAGTACTGATAAATTACACATTAAAGTGCCAGGTCAATTATTATATATAGGTATATAGGAAGGACAATAAGTCCTATTTGTGTATGTTGTAGTAGTAGAGGCAATATATTGCATAATTATAATGTGAAAGATATAGATTAAATATATATTTGTATAGAAAGGACAGTAAGTCCCATACAATTATTGTAGCTGTACTATAGTTATACTATATCTACTTCCTTTTAGTGTCTTAGTAAACCTATTTACTAAGAGGATTTCTCAGATAAACAAGTGTTTTAGTGTTTAAATCATCATGATTAAATCCCTAAGAAATTAGGTCTTTAAATAATTATCATATCATTTAACTGAAATTTCTCATATAAATAATTCCAATATTTCCCCTACAGTTATTATAAAATAATAGAAAATTATATAAATTTTCTATAGACTTAGATATAGAATCATAACGTGTATAATCTCCTTTTGTTTGACATCTGTCACATTAATGACGTATTGAATGACGTATTGATGTATTGAATTGAATTTTGATTATCTATCACGACTGTCAACGTAACAAATACTAGCAAGTTTGTTTATTTGTATTTGTTTAATATAATTAAATATAAAATCATCATATATCAACCGTAACATACAACTAAATTATCAGTGACATAAATAATCATGGTTTACTCCAGAAATAATTAATAGTATCCAGTAATGCTGCAGTTTTACATTCATATCAGTAGCCAAGCTTACTTTCAAATTCAAGAATGAACAGAAGATTAGAAGTTTAACATTCTTATTGCAATTGTACTTGCAATACTATATACATACAGTACTAATTCTCAAGAACATTCCTCAAATACATGTGTGGTGAAGATTTTCCCAATATGCTATCTATTTGATTTCTAACCTCTAATGTAAATTTATTAAAGAAGTAAATAATCAGTGTTAGTGTTTGCTTTATTAATATTTAAAGTAATTGTCCTAACTTGATATTAATAGGATAATATCTCCTTGGATACAGTCTGACATAAACATATAACTCAATAATTAAATTTATAAAATACTAATATTATATTTTACTACTTGTATATCTCCATACTATTCCCATAAAATATTCAAAACATGTATATTAAATATAAATCCAGTAAATATTCACTAATATTAACCCTGTCTGAACTTGTCTAGTCAATATAACATGAACAAACAACACACATACAAACCTTATCGCCATGACAACTTTCCTCCTAAATATGAGTAAAATACATAACTTATACTTGTCATTTAATACTAATTTTATACTGTACCTCATACCTAGTTAAGAATAACTATAGTCAGAGAATCCTTTAGTACATTTATTACCATTAGGAAATAAATCCACACCCATAATATCAGCATAATTAAATATTATTAGAAACCAGTAATACATACAGAATTGTTATTATCAGCTTGCTTACTACAATAAAATCAATATTAAAGTTTATAATAAATCAAGACAAAATATCTATTTAAACAATACAGGCTTGTTTACCATAAACACCCCACAGTCACATGAATTTATCTAGTAACACAATTAATAATGTATTAAAAGTATTACATTCACATAATATCACTTGCAACAGTTAAGCTGTCTCTTTGTACATCTGGTGTAAAACAAATCCCCACATGTAGTCATGGATAATCAAATATAGACTAAGAATCATTAATCTGGTCGACCGAGTAATGGTATAAAAACACTTCACCATGAAGCGTTAAGTATGAACAGATATTCCAAACCAACACTGTAATAGTGTAATAAATACAAATATTTCATCATCATCATCGTCTCAACCATCACCAACCCACGACTGAACACAGGCAATTTCCACCGACTGACACAAGGAACGGCCCCACAATACACATAAAACAGTCACTCCAAACAATGGAGGTAGCCCACACCACACTTGCATTCACAGGGTCGCCACTCAATAACCCTCTCTCTCATCAATGGCTGTTTCCCCAGCAATGAGACCAGACCATAGTCACTTTAGTCTATTATCCTCAATAAATAAATAAATACTTTATAATAACTAGATATGAAACTGTTAGTATTGTAATAGTTCAATAGTTGATTCAATAAGTATTTTCCAAAACTGGACAATTAGAACATTGAATCAAATTGATGAAGTTCTATCAAACGACCATATAATTGGATTTTGTATATGAGTAGAATAACGTAAGTACGTAAATTATATTGATGTAAACTTTGTTTAAATGTGATTGCATTTAACGATATACGCATTACCTAAAGGTATATGGACTCGACTAAATACGTATTTTAATAGTTGTTGGGAAAAATATTAAGTATAGACTTTGCCTGTGATCACAGTCAAAAATCTAACTCCGTAGTAATAAATGGAACAAGCTCACCGGATTCTCCAGTCTTCTATTGATTAATTTCACACACTTAATCGATAGTGATACACTAAGATCTCAAACCCCTTCATAGATCCAGTCCCTCCTAGATCTATATTCCAGTTATTTTTTTATTTTATTGCGCAGTTCCTTAAAACACGACTCCCGCGCCATTTTTTCTTTTTTTTTCTTTCCAACTATCTATATTGCGCAATTCCTAAAAAGCGACTCCCGTGCGCCCGCCGATCTGCCGGCTCTCCTCTTTTTTTTTTTTTTTATTCTTTCTCTAATAACGTCATAGATTATGTCACCGAAGGGTAGATATTTCAATAATCAGATTTAGCCTATTATTCGAACTGAACTTTTCTTTAAATTCAATTTAATTATATGTTAACGTATTTTGGTATTTTATATTAAATTGATTATCGAATTTATAAAACTTTAAAGACTCTCATAAACCTTAGTAAACTGTGTTGTATGTATTTTTTTACACCTAATGATAAAAAGGTAAACTATAATTTGGTTATATATAAAATATAATATATTTTTGTTTAATTTATTTAATTTTCTTGTGACGTCCACTACACTTTGGAAACACATCAAAGGAGTTTCCCTTCTGTGTCAATATTTCATATATGATAACGTCTTCTCTGTATACTATTGTGAACCTTGACTTTGAAGTTTGTTTATATTAAATAGCTCAGCTTTCGCAGCGGTCACCCATAGGAACCCCTTGTTTCTTTTCTATGTACTTATATGGTATTAAACCTATTGTACTATAGGCGAACCGTCACAAGGTCCCCGAGGCGTGCAGAGTAATTCAATGTACAGATACTACAAAGTTTACGATTATTTGAATAATTTAATCGACATACACGTGTTTGTGGGGCGGGCGGAATTCGGCCATTCCCCTACTCACCCCTTTGTATAACAGATACCTGTGAACGTTGCCTGCAGCTAATGGGAACAAAACCTTGAGTGTACTAGTATCTATTCCGGAATATTCTATATTATCTTTCCAGCCATTAATTATTCAATAGCAAATATAGATCTTCTGTATAGTCTTTCACTACCATATTAGAAACCCCATACACGGTTCCACAATTTATGCAATTGGCCAATGTATATTTGCATAGAGCAACGGAGAGTAATTCGAGAAGTCACATATAGTAAAGCACCGTCATGAAAATTAATCTTTTCGAATAAAAATTAATCATTTAAATCGGTTCACAATCGGTTGCAAAAAGGATGACAGACGACGCAGAATGGGCGAAGATATCACGCAACCAACCATACGCACCCAAACCAAATCTGATGAAAAAAAAAAATATATAAGCAAATTTTCGAAAATGCATTGCTCTGTGGTCGAATTACTATATAATAACGTGTTTAATACACAAGGTTTTCGATCGGCCCCGAAGAGCTCCAGTTCTTACGCAACCTGCCCATTGATGCAAAATCAGTTCGAACCGGTTCGTGGAAACCGATACTGGACCGTGTTTTGTATCGGGCTTAGACATATATACCTCAAGATGGAGCACCAATGTAAAAAACGACACGTTTTTTAAAACGGAACAAAGCGCGCCAACTTTCTGTGTTGCAAGTAAATTGATTAAAAATTCCTCAGGTCAGGTGCGACCTTATTTAAAAATCCACAAATTTTTATAAATCTAAATTGTGAACAAATTTTTTCACATGTAGTACAAAAATATATCTGCATATGATTATATAATTTCATAAAAATGTATTAATTAAATTGCAGTTGCTTTCAATGATTTTAATTATGACGAATAGTCTATTCTCAGACATCAATCAAAATAGTGAATGAAGATAAGCATCATTATGAATCATTGTAATCAATTTACTTTAATCTATCTTTTCGTATTTATTCGTAAGAATTCTGTATTGCTTTTATTTTTCAACTTAACCGTACGATATAAATATTTCCCACTTACGAGTAATAACAACATTTTATTATCTCCATTTACACATACATGAATAAATAAGTTGACATATTTTTGGCAAAGCGTTTTTTTTAAGACTCTCCATCTGAAGGTTTATAATCTATGATATTGTTATTATATCGACCTGTCATGTTTTCGATTGGTGAAATTTTAATACAGACCCCGGTGCTTTTGCCAAAAGCAGAAAATCCGGTGTCTTAATAAGACGGTCTCGCAGAAATTTTATTTTTATTTCCAAATACCCTCATTCTTAAGCGGCTTTCAAAAAAGAAGGTTCTCAATTCGATTATTGTTTTTTGTGATTACGTCTGAACCGATTTTCATGACTCTTTTGCAATCGATAAAATTTACTCCTTTGTTAAGGTTCTTTATAAATATTTACAACAATTTAAACTACTCTTATATATTGTTATATGCTGTTGTAAATTTTTTAGCGGAGCAAAAACTGAAGAATTATTTGTTACAAAGCGTTCTGATTTCGGATTCTTAATAAAAAAAAAGAAAAATTAAAAGTAACATATCTAGAAAACATTTCGTCGTTTATCGGTGTGCGTGTATGTTTACGATAAAACTCGTTTTTGCAGATTCTTATACATATCAATAAGTTTTCTAATTGGGATTCCTTATTGGTAAATAATTGGGATTTCTTAATTATATTTTACTTGAAACTTATACCAGATACTACAAGCATTAAATAACCCGTTGAAGTGGCAAACTGACAGAGACAAACTCGATTTTACATTTATAATACACGTATTATAAGTGTGGTTAAAACAAACGTTTTATATATCTATAAAAACGATCACGTAACATATGTTCGGTTGTCCGCACCCGTTTACGCTACAATGGGTTCCCTTGCGAGACACCAACCGCAAGGGTTCACCGCAAACAATTTAAGTATTTGCAATATCGAAGCTTCACTAGACCGGCAACCGATCGAAATATTCATTGCTGATTTACCCGACTGCAAATGAAAGAAGGGGGAATTATTGTCATGTGTATGTATTGCTTGAATATAAAGTAAAGCTTATTGCTTTAACATATATTCAAGTAGATATAGAATTTATTATATTTTTAATGTAAACATTTAAAATATTTTTTTATACAATTTAGAATGGCATACAAGCTGACGGCCCATCTGATGGAAATTGGTATCCGTCGCCTATAGACGTGAGCAGTACCATGGACATAACAGAGTATACTGTTTCGCCCATGATACCCCCCATGCGTTGCCATTCCTGAGGACTCAGGTGTTATTCCTCTGTATCCAGTAAATTCACGCCATATCCCACCCTTCAAACCTAAACACAGCCATGCAAATACAACTGCTTTACGGTTGAAACACGAATGGGACAGAGGTACCCAAGCAATCGACTTTTGTACAAATTCTCCCTCTGGTAAATATTTAAGACAGTTTTTTGTTACCTCGGTCAGTAATAGTCCCAAAATTTGGCATAGGTATTTATAAAATATAGTCTACTTTTATCATAATCTTGGGGATCATCATATCAGCCTTTAATTGTCCACTGCTGAACATAAGCCTCCCTCTTGGGGGGTTTTCCAATAGTTGCCACGCTTGACAGGCGGTTTGGCAATCGCAGTTAGGCTTTAGGTATTTTAAAAGGGACGCTGCTGCCCACCCCTCGCTCTCTCTTAGGCCACTCTTACGACACCCACGGAAAAGGAAGGGATGGCCTATTCTATGCCGGAACCAAAACGACAAAAAAGAATTTCAAAAAACGTGTTTACAATTATATATAAGGCTAACAACGTACAAACAACTCCTCTCGTGTTGCAGGCGTTCGTGAGCGACGGTAGCTGCTTTCCATCAGGTGGACCGTCTGGTCATTTGCCTATTATTACATTAAAAAAAAATTATAAACCTTAGGAAACAACTTAAAATCAAAGGTAATTACAAGTAGATCTCGAACCATCAATTACATTACGTCCATGACTGCATCGGATTCGAGTTCTTTGCACTTCGTTCAATTAAGGATGCAATTTCTAAAGGGGGCTGGACGCAGCAAGCACCTCCCCGAAATTCGCGTTGTCTGAATGCATATTAATAATTTGGACGCAAAAAAATAATTCTTTTTTCTGCAAATGGCGGGAAACTTATCAACTCATAATTGCTTAATTATCAATGTTGTATAAGTACACTGTAATGATCCCCATATCGCTTTGTATTTATTTATCATTAAGTTTATTCTTTTCATATATAGCATCAAAAGATACTGTGATGCTTAGAAAGTAAATCAAAGTAAAACAGAAATGAGAACAATTCACAGAATTTTGTAAAAAATATAAAAGACAGTCTTATTACTAGGGCAGACATCTAATCATACGAACAGTTTTTTAAAGAAAAAAAAAACTGAAGAAGGCTGTTATTCATGATTATATTATGATGATGATGATATGAATACAGATAGAATACCTTAAAAGAAAAATAAACACAAACACTTCTTAGAAGAAGAATAGACAGTAAAACAAAATAACAAGACAAAGAGAAGCCTGAAAACAAATAGTTCAGAACTAATTTATCTCATATAATAAAAATAATAGACCATATGGTTTATTGATACTAAGTGGTTACATGAATTTCCGTGGATTGTCTTTTACTATTTGCAAAACCTGATGCACTCTTGCATTGCCAATGCTTTTGGTATAAAAATCTTGATTCACCATACCCAGTAATTTCACTTACTTAGCTTAATCTTGAAACCGGGGTACAAAAAATACTTTTGCAAAATACTGAATACTTCGAATGAACGTAGGCTACTTTTTAAAAATCAAATGCTGTCAAGAAATTACTGGCATTCTCGCTTACTACGGTGTTATGTAGAGTGATAAAATTTTATCATCTGGCTTACAGTTCTTAAGAACCAGGTGCATTGATTCGAAAGGAGCCCGAAAACTTAATTCCCATAATTATATTTCAATTTTTGATATGTACTGACATAATATTATTTCTGACAGGCCAACTTGGGTGGTAGAAAATTATAAATACAGTTATTTTACCGAAATTTCTCGACAATGATAGTTGTATGAAAGCCAGTCTTGAACTAGATCGAATCTCGTATCTTTTATTTATTTCCTTTAGCAGGTTTTATAAAGGAATTTTCTTATTTAGTCACTCATTTGGAAATTATGAAACATATATATTTTTTAAATGACTTGACATGATATTTAAATTGATGGTTTACATGTTCTATATGCCTGATAGCACCATAGTTATTACAGATCATTCTGTGATGTTTAAGATACTCTTGGGTCTGCAGTTCTGTACATAGTCGATAGACAAATTTTAATATCACATTTAACAGGAAATAGTTAATATTTAGAAGTCCAGCGACGGTACCTATGAATCTTATAATTGTCATTCAAGCTGTTAATCAGAGCCCTTTGACTGTTAGCATTGCAGTGAACATAAATAATTTGACCACTTTTTCACGCTTTATGATGAAGATACAAATACTATCTGCTTGGTACTTATATCTTATAATATCATGGACCTGAAAACCTGGAAAAGAAAATCCAGCCTTAATTTCATGAGTGTTTATGGAAATATGAAATTAAACGGGCGTACTTACAAATAAAGTTAACATATCAATGTCTTTAAAAATATCTCTTGCAAAACTCGGCGAAATGTTATCTTTTACAGCAGATTAAGTAGAATCCCGAAAATTGTATACAAATACATTAAAGGTGCACAAAATCCCAGCATAGTAGACCCTTACCATCCCACGGTCAAGGGCTTTTTTGGGCAAATAATTTTGGACCAGTTCCTCCGTGCGTTGACCCTACAACGCCTCGAGCGTTGGAAATTGAACCGATTTCAGGTTGGAAATTGGACATCGCAACGTTGTTTTTGCTTTGCACGTTATTAATAATTAGATCACGGAGATGTCCAATGTTGGAAATTGTTAGGGTTGAAGCATGTGCTGTGTTTTGGTCTTTATTTTCATTATTTAAATAGAAATATTTATATACAAGCAACGCACTATATCTACCTTTTAATTTATAATTTTTTTGGATATCAGCAGACTGTCTAGTCTAGATTATTAATTTGTATATATTTTCATTTAGTTCTTTTTAAACATTAGATATTAGTATTTCTTATTCAGTATTCTGTCATGTGTTAGTATCACGAGAACGAAGTCGTGGATAAAAACTAGAATAGAAAAATACTGCAATGTGAAAATTTATTTTACTTATACTTTATTGTACACACCACTAATACATAAAAATTTGACAGAGGTAAGCAAATGTACAAAGGCGAATTTAACTCTAAAAGAGCTCTCTTCCAACAAACCCAAGATTGCAGTTGATGTGAATATGAAGTTATCTTAAAGTTTACTATAGTATGAAGCTATTGGATTAGAGATTACACAATATAAAGCATTACAACACATAATAAACCATGAAATAATCAAATTCACAAAGTTTAAACGCTTTCGTTCTCAAAAAGGGCTACTAAAGTTTATTACCCGTATAAATCACATTGGGCTGTACAAACTGTAAATTTGGCCAGTATATTCAATGTGGCCGCTATTTAGTGGCATAATATTGTTAATTTGTATGTGTCCAAATGATGTTGGTTAGTTGCGATAGTGCTGTGAGTATATAATGAGGTTGATTTGATTTTGGTCGGGTTTTAAATGTTTAATTACGTTCTGTATTTTGCATTAAATAATCCAGTATACCAACGTCAAGGATTACGGAATAATGTATTATTACAGTAAAATAAAGGTACAAATAGACTCGTGCTTGGCAAAAAAATGAATTAGTATGGGGCCAACAAGAATAAGCACTACCGAATGTGATAAAAACTGCCTAACAAAATTGGTTTAAATTGGAGAAGATATCTTACGTTAGTCTTTAGAAATGACAAGTCCTGGGAGTTATAGAATAGTCATAGAATACTATACACAAAAATTCTTAGTAATGCTTAAAAAGCATTAAAAATGGCAAATTGACTATTTATGTTTCTCAGGATTTGATAAATTGAACTATTGCCTTTATTGTAATTTAATACAGTCAGATATCTAATGTCTGATAATTCGATGTCTGATAGTCTGATGTCTGATAGTCTGATGTCTGATAGTCTGATGTCTGATAGTCTGATAGTCTGATGTCTGATAGTCTGATGTCTGATAGTCTGATGTCTGATAATCTGATGTCTAATAGTCTGATACCTGATAGTCTGATGTCTGATGTTTGATAGTCTGATGTCTGATAGTCTGATAGTTTAATGTCTGATGTCTGATACTCTTATGTTTGATAGCCTGGTATCTGTCTGATACCAAGCTAGTCCAAAATTTGGCAGTTTGATGTCAGACAGACAAAGTCACAAATATGAATTAGTGCTAAATATTTTCGAGTTCATATTAAAGGTTAAAAATCTCGGTCTCGTTAATAAAGACATTCTCATGGTGCCCTGCTATTTATTCTCTTCAGGTTTCGGTACTGACATTTTATATTCTGTGTCGCCAACCAACCTGTAATTCTGGGAAGGCGGCGGCATGCGATCCTTTCGTTAATATTAGCTTAATGAGTGCATAACAGCCACAACTTTTTACAGTGCTCTTTTGTACACAGTTGCTTATTGCAATTGCCATTTTTTTTTTAATTTAATAAGTGTTGAAATTTTATATGTCGACTGTTACTGTTCAATTAAAATAAAAAGGAATTTGCCAGTTCAACTGTACTTTGATATAGGTATGTTACACGACACATATGTCATTTGATGATTGTTCTGAAACTATTGTATTTACTTTCGAGATTGTGTCTCGTAGTACTTTTATTTTTATTAATGAAATATAAAAGTTAGTAAAAAAACTACCTTACATTTTATTTTAAAAATATATTAATATATTTTTACAAGTCATATAGAAAAGTCAAGAAGGCAGTGTGAGGCAAAGCCAAATGGAAGAAGATACATAATTTTGTAGCCTTAACATCGAGTTATTTTTTTTTATACAACTATAAAATAATAAATGGTTAATCTATCTATTTATATATAACTGATCAAGTGGAATTTAAAGAACTTATTATATTACCATACTTACCTTATGAAATTTCTGTAATGAAATCAAAAAAATATGCGATCATAGAAACTTCGTTAAATACCAGTTAACAAGTTACATATCAATACATATAAAATAAATAACCATTAGTTTTAAAAATATTATTTATACTTTATTGTACACAAAAATTATATAGTTATAATTTATATTAAATGAAGATGTACAACGGGCGAGTTTAACTCTGTAAGAGTTCTCTTCCAACAAACCTTAATATATTAAATATTGCATCCCTAATTTTATTACTGGTATTTCGTCGTGGATTGCATACGTGTAAAAAATACAAAAATTTTAAATCAACCGAAGATATTTTAAATACCATTTAATTAATTATAAAAGTTTTAATTAAAATAATATAGCGGTCCTTAAATATAATGGGAGGCAGTATCATCTATTCCGTCATCATAACGTGGCGTGAGCCTACATAATTTAAGCCCTTTAGTATCGCAAAGTGTGAGTTATGGCAATCGTTATACACATTAATAGATCAACACCATTACAACAATGTTACCACCATATAAATTGGGAATTTATCCCGGTACACGTTGTTTTATGGGATAATATTATAAAGACATGCTGATATATTTCTATTTTTTAAATTGATATATTGGCATAGAGCCGTGACGGAATTCGATTAGTTACTAAGTCTTAGTTAATTTTAAATTTTCGCGTTGTTTATATATATTTTAAATTCACAATCGGGACAGGTGGTTGATTACTAAACAAAAATTGACACGAAATACTAGATGACGTTAGAATCAAGACTTGTGGTTTTTGTTCATTATTATGGAATAAATAATAAATTGACATAAAATTTCTAAATTGGCGGGTGGTTTTATTTATTTTTTATCGATATAGTAATAATATATAATATTTTTGCCTTTATTCTCTTGTATTGTACAACTTTATAAAAAAAAAAACACAAACAAGCAAGAAATATTACGATTTTATGGATTCTTTATACAGGAAAAGATTGCATATTATCTGTCACTTTACATTCATATATAATAATAAAAACCACTCGTCAAATTAAAAATTTTACTTCAAATTATCTTTTATTATAAAATAATCAACAAAATCAAGTCTCGATTCC